GGGTAGAGGTCGCTGATTGGCCGTTCTTGCATAGCCAAAGGTTCGCAAACACTAAATTGATCCTCTTGTTCGAGGCCGGGGGAGGCGACTCCTCGCTGTCGTCTTTCCTATCCCGTTTGGTATTGTTGTTGTTGGACGTTTTTTCGTTCGCTTCTCTTGCCAACTCGCCCTCTTTCTCACCTACCTCGCCAGCTTCGTGCCTTTTGGTGAGGAGGCGATCCACACTGCGGCATTCCTCGGTGGAGTGTCCTTGCACCTTGTAGAATTTGCAGTATTTTTCGGGGTCGAGGTTTTGATTACGATTCTTGGCGGGACCTTCGACGGCATAGGCGTGCTTTTCTGGGGTTTTCTTGAAAGGCACTGCGGGCGTTTTGATTGCTTTATGTAACTCTGCCATTGTAGCCAATTCTTCTTCGGCCTGAGCGAAGTAGTTTGATTTGTAGAGTGCATCGTCCAACGACGCGGGCTGTCGGACGGTTAACTCCTCTATGAATTTCGACGTGTACCACAACCCATGAAGGAGTGCGGCCCGGGCGACCTAGTCATTCAGATTAGCTATTTCTGCTTTGGTTTCTCGTAATGGTTGGTCCTTGGCCTGGACGAGGAGCCCTTGGTCCGACTCTATCGTTTGGTCCGGAAAAAGATCGAGTACTGCTTGAGGAAAGAAGCTGCGAGCTGATCGATGCTGTCGATGGAATTGGCTTCGAGGCTTGCGAACCATTCCAGGGCTGTGCCTACCAAATTCTTGGCGAAATACCGGCAGTATCCCGCTTCTGCCTCGTCGTCGGTTAGAAAGGCCCTTGTTATGGTGAGTCGGAAGGCCCTGAGCTGTATTCGGGGAGTCGTAGGTTTTCCACATCGCGGAGTCCCACTTTTGCAATTCTGTTGGTGAACGGAGTTTGCCTAGTTTCCTCGATTACTTTGTCGATATATGGGGCCGCGCTTGTTGCGAAATGTACTCGCGAACGCATCTGCGCCATTTCGGCGTTCGTTTTGTTCTTGTATTCGGCCAGCGTGTTAGCGCTTATCGTGCCGGGCACCGTACGAAATCAAGCTGGGATTTTTGGGTCCGGTGCTCGAAGGTGTGCTAGTTCACCGTTTTTTATATTGGGATGGGGACCGATCCTGGGGCCAGGTCGTCGGTTACATCTGCTACCCGTTCGTTGGGGGGGGGGCACCGCGGTGTCATTGCTTGGCTTGGATCCAAAGGGTACTTGGGTTGGATGACAGCCATCTGTTGTTTGAGACGCGGGGGCCCCCGGATCAGTAGGGAAGGCTTAAAAGGGCAGCCCTGAGTTCCATGTTTGCGTTGGGGCTACGTCAGTGTTTGAGAAATCGAGCCAAGTACGCAAGATCGAACCATCGTCGAAGCGATTTGGTCCCGGTGGGTTGGGCGCTGGATTATGCACGGACCTGATGGTACTCGGTGGTATGCAGAACGAAAGCTCGCGTTCCTGCCTCTCGATTCTCTCCATCAAAGAGCGGTTCGTTAACTCTTGGTTCTTAGTTTTGTCAATCGTCCCCACAGACGGCACCAAATTGTAGGTGCTGATATTCACCCACTGGTTTAAGTAAAGAAAGTAATGGGGCTAAGCTCTCTGATTTAGAACAATGAATATCGAACTCGAGATAGAAATGGAGTTTTTAGTATTGAATAATTATCACTCTTAAAACGATTACAAGGTTCTCTCAATCAAACAATCAATGCCCTAACTCGAAACGAACATATCTCTTTTATAGATCGGGGCATCCGTAATCTTCGTAACGTACTCTCGGATCTGCGCCTCCTTCTCCGCTTATGCTCCGAGATCCTCTCAACAGCTCGAGCTTATCCAGTAAACGGGCCTTCTTTCACTTTATCAAAGCCCACAAACGTATTTACTCGAACGCAATCATATGGGCCTTGACTGGGCTTTGACCGCGTAGAAACCCAGTACCAACAGATAATACAAGACAAATGGTTCTGGCCAGTGAATTATCCATAAGGATATTACAAGACACGTTATATTGTTTAGGAAATTGCGGAATATAAGATATCGCATATTCCGTCGGTTAATATAATAAAGTGCAATTATGATGCAACTTTTGATTATAACACTCAACAAGTTAAGGCTGGTTGGATTCTTAGAGATAAGAATGGAGGCTCGAAAGGTTGAGGAAGTTTAGTTCTAGGACTAGTATTATCCCCCTTAGAAGCAGAGGCGAAAGCTTTTTTGGCGGTTTTCCAACAAAGTTGGATTAAAGGCATAAGGACGATATGCTTTGAAGGTAATTGCGAAATTTTGAATAAAATTATAAAGCATCAACACTATGACATTGCTTTTGAAAGGGTACAACATGATATCTTTTATTGGGCTTCGTTATTTCAACACGTTCACTTTGTATATACTAAAAACCATAATCTCGAGGGGGAGAGTTAAGGATAACAATATCCCACACTAGAAGTTGAGTAAGATTTTAAGTGGTATATGGAATATATGGACCTCTCCACTAGTGGCCAATTGGATTTAAGTTGGAAACCCACAATCTAATACATCTTCTAACGTGTGTCCACTCATAATAATAAAGAATCTCATAGGTTGTGCCCAAGAATGAACCCAAATCTCATTTTTCTTTGATATGTGTAAACTCGTGTTTCCTGCTCAGCAAGCATTGGACTATCTTCCCTGACAACTTTCAAAACTAGGCCTAGGAAGAAATTTATTTATCCTCTCATACTCTTGAACCAAAAGTATGGTTTTAATTTCCTTAATGCAGTCATAGTTTGGAAAATGGTTTATCTTCTCCTATGATGAAACAAGGCCATGGAGTTTGATATATGTAGGAAAGAATCCCCCATGTTCTGCAATAAACCAAATCAGACTATGTTAGGAAAGTCTAACTAAACTCAGCTAAACCAAACTCAGGCTGCCATTGAGAAAACCAAACTCTAGCATTCTGTGGGTACCCGAATTAGTACCCGGTTCGGCAGCCCACTTCGGAGGACGGCCCGCAAGCAAAGGCCCGTTTCCGGAATCGCCTAGCCCATTGGGAGAAGTCCAGTAGGAATTTGAATGGCTAAAGAGAAGAATGGTAGAGGTCCTGGAGCGCCCTAGTGTGTGCCTGAGCGAGCTAAATGTCTTGACGAGGTCGATGCAGCGACGGCTCGACAGAGGGGAAATAGTGCCTAATATGCCCGTCATACCCTCCAAGGTCGCTAGACCTCGAAGGAATGCCCTAATACCGGAGGATCTTCCTGCTCCCACGAGCAAAGAACCGACTGAGTCATTGGCTGGAACTCCGACAGCCCGGCTCCCTTGTGGCGAAGAACCCGGGGGGGAAGGGCCGGGAAGTTTCTCGGATCTCCCGGAGGAAAATCCGGAGTTAGACTGGAGAACCCCCATCCTATCTTACCTAAGAAGGGGCGAGCTACCTACGGATAAATGGCAAGCTCGAAAGGTTAGAACTATCTCGGCCCGTTTCTGCTTGCATAACGAGGGTTTACTCCATCGTAGCGCTGGGGGTCCTTACTTAACTTGCATTGCGGGGGAGTCGCCGGGGATAGTGATGCGGTCAATCCATGATGGGCCCAATGGGGACCTTGCGGGAGCTCGGACACTAGTAATCAAAGTTAAGCGATACGGTTTTTTCTGGCCAACAATGAAAGCGGACTGTGAAGAGTTCGTAAGGAATTGTGAAAAATGTCAGAAGCACGCACCCACGATTCATCAGCCTTCGGAGCTCATGTCTTCAATCTCGGCACCCTACCCATTCATGAGATGGTCAATGGACATAATAGGACCTTTGCATAGCTCGACGAGATGAGTAAGATTCCTGCTGGTCCCAACTGATTACTTTTCCAAATGGGTGGAGGCATCTGCGTATTCTGCGGTGACAAGCTCTCAGGTCCAACAATTCGTATGGAAGGACGTGATCTGCCGCCACAGACTCCCGTATGAAATAGTAACTGACAATGGGTCGCAGTTCGTCTCGAAACAGTTCGAAGCCTTCTGCGCTCACTGGAAGATTCGGTTGAGCAAATCCACACCCCGCTACCCACAAGGGAATGGCCAGGCTGAAGCTATGAACAAAGTAATACTAGCTAACTTAAAAAAACGGTTGGATTCGTACAAGGGCCGATGGGCTGAGGAACTACAAGGCGTACTATGGGCAATCCGAACTACGCCTCGGCGGGCGACGCACGAAACTCCCTTTTCGTTGGTATATGGGACGGAGGCGGTGATCCCAGCAGAGCTCGCTGTGCCGGGAGTTCGGGTAGCTATGAACCCGAAAATGCCCGAAGAGAACGAAGAGTCTCTTCGGGATGCCCTCGATTTCATTGAGGAGAGGCGTGATCGGGCGTTAGTTCGGTTGCAGCATTATCAGAGTGCGATCGCAAATATTATAATTCAAGAGTGAGGGGTCGCGACCTCAACGTGGGTGACCTCGTGCTAAGGAAGGTTTACGAAAATACCAAAGAGGTTAACGCTGGAAAACTTGGCGTAAACTGGGAAGGCCCTTACAAAATCACGTCCGAAGTACGTAACGGGGTTTACCGCCTGGAGGAGCTGTCCGGAAAAAAGATCCCCAGGTCATGGAATGCCCTGCATCTGAAGCGATTCTATACTTTTTAAAGTAAAATAGTAACACTTGTAATCGAACTACGGTGTGCTTGATCCCTTATTGGGTAAGTAGGCAGCTCGGTTTATCGAGTTCAGCTAAGTAATAATATAAATTTCATATTAAGCAAGCTGGCACAAAAAGTCAACAAAAATAACATAGCAAAAAGTGAAAATAAGCAGTTCCTTTTCAAAGCAAAAAAGGGAAAAGAGTGCGGCCTCCGTGGCCAAAAACACTCAAAGACATAGTGATCCATCGAGTTCGGAGAGCAACTAGAACGCAAAAAAAAAAGAGAAGTCACAGACATAGAGGGGGGTCTAAGACCAAAACAACCCCGGCAGAAATCAATTTAGTTCGGAGTCCGCAGTAGGGGCTTTGGAACAAACCAGAGGAGTGCCAGGTTAGGGGTCCGCAATGGGGGCTTCAGAACGACTCAGAGGAGTGCCAGCCGCCTCATCCATCAAAGCTTCGTCACCCCCGACATTCATAAAGTCATTGACCTCCTTACTAAGACCCGGCTTGATGGCCTCCAGTTCCTGATTCGTTACAACAGAAGGATCAGAAGTAGGCTCCTCGATCATAAGGGGAGCAGAAGTGGGGTCAGGCCCGACCTCGGGGGGAGTATCTGCCAAAAGAGCAGTGAGTGATGAAGGGTCAAACTTCAAATCCTTTACCTTTTCAGCCTCGAGGTGAGCAGCCTTCTCATCAGCCTTCAATGTCTCGAGCTCCTCTTTCTGGTCGGCGATCTCGCCCTTCTCGATTTCTTCCACTAGCATCCGGTTGGCAGTGATCTCTGCAGCTCGGATTGCGTGGGGGAGTAATCGGTCATGCTCCTCGAGGTGCGTCCCGATCTTATCGATTGTCTCCCGAAGCTCAGCTCGCGTTTTCCTCCGCTCCTCCCTTCGAACCCTTTCCATCTCCGAGCTGTTCCCTGCTTCCAGGAGCTGGTTTCTGAGTTTGATCTCCTGGAGTTCCTTCTTCGCATCCGTCTCAGCGGTGGTCGCCTTCAGGTACAGTTCCCCGGCCAGCTTTAACTTGTCTTGGCAAGTTTCCAGGTCAGACTCAGCAATCTGTAGGTCGAGCTCGACGGACTTGAGCTTCTTGCTGAACTTAGCCGCCCTCTCCACCTCGGCTCGGTTGGCAGCATCCATGGACTTGTATTTCTTCACCTCCTTCTCTAAGTCTGCAATTCGAGATTGAAGGGCCCCGATTTCTGTGGCGGAGGGGCTGGCGAAGAGCTGCTCTTCGTAGTGGGCTACTGAGCTGTTGAATTCAAAGAGCATCTGCCGAAAGAACGAAGGTGTTTATAAAGTAGGGGGGGGGAGATAACTTGCGAAGTAAAGGAAAGCAATCTTACCTCGCCAACCTTCTCGGCAAAGCAGAAGTAGTCTTCCCGGTTGCTCAAGGACATGTCCTTAAAGGCAGGAACCCGAGCTCCGGGATGGCTGAAGCTCCTCATCATGTCCGCCAAGGATTTCGGCGGAGCTAATAAAACATTTTACGTCAGTTTAGAAAAACGTGTATATAGAAAGAGCGAGCTATTGGTAAATGGTTTACCTGGAAGTTCGCGTCTCGGGGTCGTTTCCGGGACGGTGAAGCTCGGACCCGCGGGTGAAGAGCCCTTTGGAGCCGGAGTTTCGGCAACCTTCTCTTCAGGTCGGAGGCGGGAGCTCGCACGCATAGGAAGCGCAGGATCTGCTGCCTTCCTCTTCTTGGTACCACTGGACTGACCCTCCTCACGAATTGGGCGAGGGGCGGGGGAGTCGGCACTGAGGTCGCTGTCAGGCAAAGTTATCACTTGGCGACCTGAGCCCTCTGGAGGAACGGCTGAACTGGAAGACTTCTCTTTCGAGGGAACTTGGGCTTTGGTGCCCGATAGCGCAGCGACCATTTTCTTCTTCAGCTCTTTCTCCTTCAGCTCCATCTTCTTTTTGTAAGCTCGCTCCTCTCGATAGTTCATCTTCGGAGGTGCAGCTTGGGGGGAGGAGATGGTGAGAAACCTAGTGCGAATGCGGGCTCCGGCCTCGCGAATTCTAGGGCAAGTAAAAGAATCCCACGCGGTTTGGCCGCCACAGAACGTGACGAAGTAATTCGCGAAGGTTTCGGACAGGAACCCGCGGTCAAGAGAGGCTGCAAAAAAAAAGAAGGAAAAAAGATAGAATTAGTGCTCCGAACTGATGAAAATAAACGGGAGAGCTCAAATGCAGAAAGCTTTCGAATCTCCTCGCACTTCTACCAGGTTTGTGGGACCAATGCGGGACAAATAATTCCTGCAGGTCGCCAAAAGTATCCCGGTTGATCGGGAAGAAGAAGTAGTCGCCCCGGTACTGCTCGTCCTTCCCGGGAAAGTTGTCAAAAACCCGAAGTCCGGCCAACGGGCTGAGATAGAAAGTCCCCCTGGTCCGGCCACTCTTTATCGTATAAAGATGGAGTATGTCCTGGAAGGTGATGAGATAGCCGTGCTCCTCCGCCAGGGTCTGTAGGCAGAGAAGGGTCCGAACAAAGTTCGGGCATAGCTGGGGAAGGGCAACGCCTAGGGCGAACATCGCCTTCACCAGAAGCTCCGGCAGAGGGAAGTAGAGGCCGCACTTCGAGAAAAAGATCTTGTAGGCGCAGCAATAACCGGGCGGAGGGTCCTCCGGTGAAAGGTCGTCTCCCGGAGCGATGAGCTCCGTCTCCGACGTGAGGCCGCAGAGGAACTTCACGTGTACAAGGTCCTCCTCGGCGATAGTTGATCGGGGGTGAGGACCGAATTGCCCGGAGAGGGAAGTGTCTCCGGCTTGTGGAGCTTGCTTCGGCGAAGTCATGGCGAGGCTAGCGAGAGGAAAAGCAAGAAGATTCGAAAGCTATTCGGTTTCGTCGGAGAAAGCAGAAGGAAACTAGAGGAAGACGAAGACGAGAGAGAAAACTAAAAAAAAAACGAAGGAAAAGGAGGTTACCTTTATATTGTCTCGGCGGCCGTGGTGTGATGATTGCCTAGGGAAGCTATAAGGTCGCGGTCTTTATACCCGACAACCTAGGGATTTTGAAGCGGCAAAACCGGGGCACGGGAATCCGAAAAGGAAACCTCGGGGGAAAACAAATCAATCATATCAAACTCGGAAATCGCCGTTTCTTTAATTGTGCCGCATATAAGTCTTCTGAACTAAACCACTTCGCAAGACTTGGGGGGCTTACTGTGGGTACCCGAATTAGTACCCGGTTCGGCAGCCCACTTCGGAGGACGGCCCGCAAGCAAAGGCCCGTTTCCGGAATCGCCTGGCCCATTGGGAGAAGTCCAGTAGGAATTTGAATGGCTAAAGAGAAGAATCAAAACGGGCCATCTACTGGTCAAAGGACGTCTTAATGAAGGCGTGATTCACGGGGCGGAGTCCGGGGAAATAGTAATTACTCGCCATCGTTGTATAAATAGAGGGTTAGGACAAAGTGTAGAGGGGATCGAATTTTCTTGAGAACAGACTTAATAAAGCAAAGCAATTTTCTTTTCGTTTCTCGCTATATTACTCACGAGTTCGGACAGGGAATCATGAACCCACTTAAGTTAAACCCGTTTCCAGTTCGTGGATTTCAGCTCCCACACATTCCTAGCCCAAAACAAACCCTAGCATTCTCATTAATTAGCACCAAATTAGCATTCTCTAGCACAAACCAAACTCAACATGACATTTATGAAACCGAACTCACTCTGTTATTTATAAAACCAAACTCTAGCATTGATTAACACAAACCAAACTCAGGCTGCCATTGATAAAAGCTAACTCTACATTAAAATGACCATTGAAAATTAGCACTCATGCTACCATTTACAAAACCAAATTCGACCTTTCCCATTGTATCTAAACTATCATCACCATTCTAAACTAAACTTAGCTAAACTAAACTAAGAACTCATGCTGGCGTTAACAAAAACGTTTAGATTGTTATGATTTTTTGTACCCAATTTGTTTAGGTTTTTACAGATTTAATAAAGTTAATCACACAAGCTTTCAATGCTTTCAACTTCTACAAAATAACACGAGTGGTGAGTTAAAATATATCCATATCTTACAATATAGGGCATTTTAGTCTTTAATTAAAAATGTTAAGGATGAAATTTGTTGGGCCAATGGTAATTGTGACACAAAAACAAAAACCATGCTATTTTTGAGAACCTCTCTATAATAAGATATTTTTGAAAAAAAAACTAAAATAAACAAATTTAAGCTGAATATTAAACATACAATATTCCTATTTCTTCCATATCAAATTTGGATAGAAACAATTTTCTTCTATGATTGATAAAAACTAAAGAACGTATAAGAATAGTGTGGGTCCATATGTCAAAGTTTAGAAAGTATTCCTTTCTATTCCTTACAAAAACAATTGTACACCAGCTGGACCCAAAAATTTATTTTTAAAAACAAAATCATGCAAAAGTTTATGATAACGTATAAAATCAATGCAACTATTTTTTTAAAATCTCATGTGATAACGTCAAACTTTTCAAAGTTTTTTAATAACCACAACTAATATTTAAACAATTTATTCATATCCAGTATAAAATTCAAACTAATCTTGGTATATCTCATTATTATATCATGAATTTTTATTATATTTAAAGTCTTATGCAATACACTTATAAATAGTCTTCGACACCTTATTATTTTTTCTAAAGACTATTCTAATAGAGAAAAGCTATCTAGCATAGAAAAAGTTCAAACGATTGAGAGAGCTTAAGGTTAAAAAAAAAATCATCACGGCAAGTTTGGTTTTGCTTATGGTCTTCTGTTTGGTTTTTCTATTTCATCAAGCCATCTAATATATTTTGCTTACAGTCTTGTGTTTGGTTTTGTTATTTTATGTATTTGATCTTTAGAAAGCACTTGGACTATGGCAATTTCCCGAGAGAATGGATCATCACGTCGTGGAGGTCTTTCAAGAAACAAAAGCAAATCTACTACTGCATAAGGGATGGACACTGAAGGAAAGGTATATATATGTTTTGTATATATATATATAGTTATATGTTGAGTTAAGCTTGAAGAAAAAGATAACTTGAAGAGCAAGTCATTGTAATTCTACCGAGATATGGATTAGGATTAGAGGTGTTTATAAGTCCTATTTGAATTAGGATTTGGGTTTTGGTTTTATATAAATAGAGAGGTCGAGTTATGACATTAAGTGTGAGATTAAGAGGTTTTGTGAGCTTTAGTTTTTGAGGAATTTTTCTAAAGCAATAAAAGAAAGAGTCTTTTATACACTTCATAATCTCCAAGTTCTTAAGGTCTTTAAAACAATATATAATACTGAATTTCAATGCATATACGATTAATGTATTAAAGCGAAACATGATAATTGAATATGTATATATTATAGTATGTGTGGAAGGAAAGACATTGTCAAATGATGCTTGAATTCGTTATTACGGAGCTAAAAGCAAATAACCACTATAGTAGAATGCCGAATGTTGCTGGTAGAAGAAGAGATAAAGAGCAAAATCAGATTTATATTCAACATGATGTCGATCAAGATGAACGTTACTCTCCGTTTACTAAAATAAAAAAATTTAAGCTGAATATTAAACATATAATATTCATGAATCACTGATACGACAAAACCATTATATTTAATATTAAGAATATATTCCATAAAATTGTTTAAAGAAATTATTTATTTACTATGTTTTTGTAGATAAGAAAGTTAGATAAGTGAATTAATATGATGATTTTTATTACTGAAAAATTTGAAGTTTATTTGTGTAACCTCTATTTTGGATATTTGATTATTTATGTCGGGTATCCGTTCGAATATTGAATTATATTACCCTGATAGGACCCAATAGAGCAACGGGTCATGTCCAATACCCTTTCCAACCCGTTTGTTTCCGGTACAGGATCCGGGTCGGGTTTCCGGGTCCGGGTTTTTTTTTCTTCTCTGTAATTGGGGATATAACGAAATTGGAAGAACCTCTAAACTATACGGAGGCTTTCAATCCCCAAATCCCCAAATCGAGTATTAGGGTTTTCGCCAGCTCCTCAATCCGGCGAGCCCAGCTCAACTCCGTCGTCGAGTCCTTGTCGTCTCTGTTGCCTCTCAAGCCGTTCTCCTCTCTCTCGGTAAGCCCTAAACTTCCTCTGTGTTGATCTCTGTAAACCCTAAACGTTTCTCACAATTATAGTTCTCTTCCTCGTTCGATCTTCTTAATTTTGAATCAATGGAGTTACGGTTTGTTTAGGGTTGCACTCTCTGTTTCTTTGCGGAAATCGTTGAAAACCTTTTTTAATTGCTATAATTACCCAGCCGATGTTTTAAGCTTTTCTATTTCTTGATGTATTCCAAATTTCAGGAAGATGGATTTGCCTAACTTCGCTATGGCTCGCTTGGGTGATTCTCAACTCCGTATAGTCATTCATTGGGATTTTGAGAACGTTTGCATTCCTCGAGGTTTTCGAGCCGCACAACTCTTCAGAATTGTGGAGAATCGGCTGAGACAACTGGGTTATGAGGGTGAGATCGAGTTCAGAGCATTTTGGGGCACTAAAGGGCCCAGCCTTGAGAAGCATCGAAGGGAGCTTGAGGGTTTAGGAGTAAAGTTCTATCAAGCACCTGAGGCGGTACAAGATGCAGCAGATCATTTAATGCTCGAGCTAATTGATAAATATGGACCTAAGCTGTTGAAGGATCTTTTGACACAGTATGGAGAGGTGGATGCGGTGGTACAGGAATATGTTCATATATTCATAGCTGGAGATCACATTTACGCTAATGTTGCTCAGCTGATGCTTGGTATGGGAACTACCGTATTGCTAATATACCCGAGATTGGCTTGCGCTAACGAACTCCGGGAAGTGTTTCCACTTTCAGCCAGGATGACTTGGTTATCGTTTCTCGGCAGGCAAGAAAGGCGTTAAGAGTCTTTTTGTGTGTGTTTTACATGTCGGATGTGAACATTAGGAGTAGTATAAATAGGTGCAGCGGAAGGAACATATTCAGAGCCTGAGGAACATAAACTTTTCTTACAAATATTGTTCTTCCTGGTTCTCATCTTTTTTAAGTAATACAAAGTGATCTGTTTCCTGATCCTATCAGCTCTATACAGTAGCCTTTTAGCTTTCTTTTCTGTTCACTCAATAGTGTTCTCATTGATTATTCTCGCCTCTCAAAATTTCTCTTGGTTTTAGTTTCGTTTCATTGTTGTTTTTGCATTAGCTTTGAATCCAAATAGAGACGACAGATAGGGATTCCATGGATATCAGTAATTTTTTTGGTTTGTATGCAAGGGCTATAGGTAAAAGAATTTACTACAATATATACTTATGCATAGTATAATTAGAGATCTATACGTCAATATGAAAATCTGAACAAGGGGAGAGACAAAAGGAAGGATCTATATAATTCACAAAGTCAACTTACTGACACACAAAACCTAGTGATCCTCGGTCAATTTGAACATATTCAAGACTGGTCACTAGTTTCATGTCCACTTGTGAGAAGAAGTGAATTTTGAAAACTTCTTAAAGTACGTACAACTCACTTTTCAACGCATGTCAAAACTTTTCTAACGCTTTTGTTCTATTCTACGTTTTGAAGATCTTCATCAATAAGGAAAAAAATATATTATCGTGTTGTCGATAATAAACCTAGTAGAGTCGGAAAAAAATTATCCATAATCAAATCGTTAAAGTAAAAAATTTCCGAAATTTATCATAATAATTAACAAATGCAAGATAATTAAAATTAAAAAAAAAAAAAAAAAATACAAAAAGAAAGGCTACACTATTAACATATTTAAAATAATTAAATAAAAAACTGTTGCGAGATAGGTCAAAGTCAAAGACACACGAGTGAGCCTTGTTCATAGTCTCTCTGTCTCTGGTTACTTCGTGAAAGCAAAAGGAGCAATTTTGAAGCCATGTCCGCTTTGTCTGTGATCGAACAACGACTGTTAAAGTGGAACAAAGTCGCATCTTTATTACCCAAACCAAACAAACCTCTTATCCCCATTGATCGTCTTAACGAGCTTTTGAAAGCCTGTGCTAATTGAAGCTGTCTAAGCACCGGCGAATCGATCCACGCTCATCTGATTGTTACGAACCAGTTATCTAGAGTTAAAGACGTGTTTCAGATCAATTCTCTGATCAATCTCTACGTGAAATGTGGAGAAACTGTTCGTGCACGCAAGCTGTTCGATTTAATGCCTGAGAGGAATGTTGTTTCTTGGTGTGCGATGATGAAGGGTTATCAGAATTCTGGGTCTGATTTTGAAGTTTGAAGCTGTTTAAAAGTATGATTTTTTCCTGGTGAATCGAGACCTAATGAGTTTGTAGCCTCTGTGGTTTTTAAATCTTGTTCAACCTCTGGGAGGATTGAAGAAGGTAAGCAGTTTCATGGATGTTTTCTTAAATGTGGTTTGATGTCTCATGAGTTTGTACGGAATACTCTTGTCTACATGTATTCATTGTTCGGACTCACGAGAGGCTACCCGAATTTTGGATGATCTTCCTTATTGTGATCTCCCTGTGTTTAGTTCAGCTCTTAGTGGTTATTTAGAGTGCGGTGCCTTTAAAGAAGGGGTTGATGTTTTGAGAAGGATGGCTTACGAAGATTTGGTTTGGGATAACATCACGTATTTGTCTTCTTTACGGCTTTGCTCCAATCTCAGAGACTTGGATTTGGGTCTGCAGATTCATAGCCGAATGATACGGTTTGGTTTCAGCTGTGAAGTTGAGGCAACTGGTGCACTCATTAATATGTATGGAAAATGTGGTAATGTCATCTATGCTCAGAGAGTCTACGACGATACACATGCTCAAAACATTGTCTTGAATACGACGATCATGGATGCTTACTTCCAGGATAAGTCTTTCGAGGAGGCTCTGAATCTGTTTGCAAAGATGGGAACTAAAGATGTTCCCCCTAATGAGTTCACTTTTGCCATTTTGTTGAATTCAATTGCAGAGCTATCGCTTCTAAAACAAGGTGATCTTCTTCATGGGCTTGTTCTGAAATCTGGTTATAAGAACCATTTAATGGTTGGCAATGCTCTGGTTAACATGTACGCCAAAAGTGGCAGCATTGTGGATGCAAGGAAAACATTCTCAGGCATGGCTTTTAGGGATATAATTACTTGGAACACATTGATATGTGGATTCTCACATCATGGATTGGGGAAGGAAGCGCTTGAAGCCTTTGATAGAATGATGTATGCAGGAGAGTTTCCCAACCGCATCACTTTTATCGTCATTTTGCAGGCTTGTTGCCATACTGGTTTTGTGGAGAGAGGGCTTTATTACTTTGACCAGCTAATGAAGCAATTTGATGTTCAGCCTGATCTACAGCATTATACATGCATTGTTGGACTTTTGAGCAAGGCTGGATTGTTCGAGAAGGCTGAAAATTTCATGAGAACAGCTCTAATTGAATGGGACGTTGTTGCGTGGCGAACTTTGTTAAATGCTTGTTAGTTGTTATGTTCGTCGGAATTACACTTTAGCAAAGTAGGTAGCAGAATACGCCATGGAGAAGCATCCAAAAGATTCAGGAATTTACATATTGTTATCCAATATTCATGCCAGGTCAAGGGAGTGGGAAGGCGTGGCAAACGTGCGTTCTTTGATGAATAAAAGGGGTGTTAAGAAGGATCCTGGAGTAAGCTGGATAGGGATACGTAATCAAACCCATGTGTTTCTTGCAGAGGAAAGCCAACACCCGGAGATTATGCTGATTTATGCAAAGGTGAAGGAAGTTTTGTCAAAGATTAGACCATTAGGGTATTCGCCTGATGTTGCTGGAGATTTCCATGATATAGATGAAGAAGAGAGAGAAGATAACCTCTCTTATCATAGTGAGAAGCTAGCTGTGGCATATGGTCTGATGAAAACGCCAGAGAACTCACCATTGTACGTGACTAAAAACGTGAGGATATGTGATGATTGTCACTTCGCAATTAAGCTTATCTCGAAAGTCTCAAAACGATACATAGTTATCAGAGATTCCCATTGATTGTGAAGCATCTTTCTTTTGCAGGCCGTTTGCAGCTGATCCAATCTTTTATCTACTCAATTATCACCTTTTGGGCCTCTATTTTCATTCTCCCTAATCAATGCCTTGAGGAAATTGAGAGAATGTGCAGTGCTTTTCTATGGCAAGGGGCACCTAACTCGGCTAGGGGAGCGAAAGTCAGTGTGTACGCCTAAGACTGCTGGTGGGCTGGGACTAAAGCGATTGATGAATTGGAACAAGGTCCTTGGTTTGAAACTCATATGGCTTTTGTTTGCTGCTAGTGGTTCTTTATGGGTTTTTTGGGTGAGGAGAAACTTGATAGGGAGATATATGCTTTTGGGATATTGTGAATGTTAGCTCAGGAAGTTGGATATGGAAAAGCCTTTGTAAACTTAGATCGCTTGCTAGACCTTTTATTGTCTGCGATGTTGGATCTGGTATTACTTGCAGCTTTTGGAATGATAATTGGACTGATTAGGGAACTCTTTTGGAAATCACTGGAGCTTTGGGACCAAGATTGTCAGGTCTACCAAAAGATTCAACTGTTGCTTTGCTGTAGTAGGAGTAGAAATCCGGTTATTGTCCTATTAAAAGAATCCTTGCCTTCTCCTTCTATAGTGAGGGACCAGAGGGAAGTGGAAGATGATTGTTTCCTGTGGAAGATTGGGGAATCCCAACCTTCCAATGTGTTTTCAACAGTGATCTTATTTATGGGCTTGTTCTGAAATCTGGTTATAGGAACCATGTAATGGTTGGCAATGCACTGGTTAACATCTACGCCAAAAGTGGCAGCATTGAGGATGCAAGGAAAACATTCTCAGGCATGGCTTTTAGGGATATAATTACTTGGAACACATTGATATGTGGATTCTCACATCATGGATTGGGGAGGGAAGCGCTTGAAGCCTTTGATAGAATGATGTATGCAGGAGAGTTTCCCAACCGCATCACTTTTATCGGCATTTTGCAGGCTTGTTGCCATATTGGTTTTGTGGAGCGAGGGCTTTATTACTTTGACCTTAATGAAGCAATTTTATAAATGATGATTAATTGTACTTGATCTCGTTCGTTGTTTATTAGAGTCCACACATACGAGGATATAATCATTTATATATATTTATACACATTATAAATTAATTATCTTATCCTAAAAAAAAAAAATAAAAAAAAAAAAATTAATTATCTTACAAAATTTGTTTATTGATAGATGTCAAAAAAAAAAAAATTGTTTATTGATAATGTTTTTATAAAAACTTAAAAAATTGTAACTAAATTAAAACAAAAAATTGTAATTAACAAATTGTAAACAAAAAGAGTAGAGGGTTTCGCCTAAGGCGTGATTTTGAGAAAATAATGTAGAGCTGTTTTTTACCTATTAGCATCTAAAATTTCAAGTTTAATAAAATTTACTTTTTATATTACTAATTAAATTATATATGAAGCATAAACATCATTAGCAAACTCTATATTCAAGTATTTAATATTCTAATTTCGCTAAAGAGTATTAAACTTTATCTTAGTTTATCTTAGTTTCTGTCGAGTAATTTCTGTATTCTAATTTCGCTAAATTCTAATTTCATATTGTAAAAGTAAATAAATTCTATATTATAATTTCGCTATATTACAACTAATTAAACTAAATTAATAAGAAAGAGTTCTTAGGGTTTACATTTAATACATAAAAGTAAATAATCCAAAATAAAAAACGATACATACATATTATTATTGAATTTTGATAAACAGATGATAATTACTGAATTGTTGGGGGATTTGCACAACTAGCCTTTTTATGATACCCTTTTCTACAAGTACCCTCTCTAGGTGTCCATTTTCAAAAATACCTTCTTCAATGTACAAAATGACTAAATTACCCTCCTTTATTATAACCCATGATGAATAAAGGAATATTCTTTCCAACAAAAAGAATATTCCTTCCGAAAAATTTCCCGCCATATTTTCCCGCCAAAAATTTCCGGCAAAAATTTTCCTGCCAAAAATTTCCGACAAAAAATTTCCTGCCAAAAATTTTCAACAAAAATTTTTCCGCAATTCCTTAAAAAAACCTTGTAAATATTTTTAAATCCCTTAAAAGATCCTTTAAACCCCCTTGTAAATCTTTTAAAAG